GAATAAGAATATCATGCATGAATATTAAAATGACTTTATAATCATGCTAAAGTGTAATTAAGGATGTATGGGAATTAAAAAATTCAAAATAATTTATGAATAATTTGGTTTTGACATACAACATGAATTTTTGAAATGTTCAAAAATTAATCCAAAAGGTAATGAAATGACATGCATATCTCTCCTTTAATTTATGCATTGGATAACCATATAAAATCACTCAAACATGTATAATAATCAATTTTAAGCCAAACAATCAAATGAAAGCATAAAAATTCAAAAAATTTGGACTAATTTCGGGAATGTTATATAGTTCTAACTCTCTCCTAAGTGTCCAAAATATTTCTTTACCTAAAGGCTTGGTAAAAATACCAATTATTCAATGCAAATTTTCAACATATTCTAGAACCACATCTTCCTTAAGGACATGATTTCTAATGAAATGATGTCTAATTTCAATGTGTTTAGTTCTAGAGTGTTGGATGGGATTCTTAGTGAGACAAATTGCACTAGTATTTTCACACTTAATTGGGACAATACCAAGATCAATTCCATAGTCTAAAAGTTGTTGTTTCATCCATAAAACTTGTGCACAACAACTATCGGCTAAAATGTATTTTGCCTTGGTGGTTGATAATGCAACACTATTTTGTTTCTTAGAAAACCATGGAATTAGCATATTTCCTAAGAATGGACATGTACCGGAGGTGCTTTTGTATCCAAATTACAACCTCTAAAATTCATATTCGAGAAGGCCTACAAGCTAAAGTTTGAGTCTCTATGATACTAAAGTCCTAAACTAGGAGTATCTCTAAGGTATCTAAAGATCCTCTTAATGGCATGTAAATGATATTCCTTAGGACAAGATTGATATCTAGCACAAAAGTAAACACTAAACATTATATACGGTCTACTTGCAGTAAGATAAATCAAAGAACCAATCATTGACCTATATAATTTAACATCTACACATTTATCTTCTTCATCTTTGTCAAGCTTTGTTGAAGTTCTCATGAGAGTGACTTGAGGTTTCACATTCTCCAATCCAAACTTCTTGAGCATGTCCCTTATGTACTTAGCTTGATTGATGAAGATGTCATCCTTCATTTTCTTGATTTCAAGTCCCAAAAAGAATGAGAGCTCCCACATCATGCTCATGTCAAATTCACCTTACATTAACTTATATAATTATTGGCAAAGAAGATCATTAATAGCACCAAATATAATATCATCAACATAAATGTGTACTATTAACATGTCATTCTCCTTTATTTAATGAAAAGTGTAGTATCAAACTTCCCTTTAGAAAAACCTTTTTCAATTAAAAAAATTGATAATCTTTCATACTAAACTCTATGAGCTTGTTTCAAACCATATAAAGCTTTTGAAAGTTTGAAAACATAGTTTGTAAATTTTGAATCTTCAAAACTGGGAGGTTGTTCAACATACACTTCTTCATTAATAAATCCATTTATAAAATCACTTTTGACATCCATTTGATAAAGCTTAAAATCATTAAAACATGCAAGAAGCAAGTAATAATCTAATGGCTTCCATTCCATTCTAGCTACGGGAGCATATGTCTCATCAAAATGAATTCCCTCTTCTTGAGTGTAACCTTGAGCAACTAGTCTAGCTTTATTTCTCACTATGTTACCACTTTCATCTAGTTTGTTTCTATAAACCCATTTAGTACCTATAGTAGACTTATTACTAGGCCTTTCAACTTCATACTTTTACTTCTCTCAATTTGATGTAACACATCTTGCATAGCCATAATCCAATGCTCATCATTTAATTCTTTATTAACATTCTTAGGCTCTATGCATGAGATAAATGCAACATATTTACTAATATTCTTAAGAGAAGATCTACTGGTTACCCCTTTAGATGGATCACCCAAAATTTTACCACCTTTGACATAGTTGTACTCCCTTGGGTATGAGACCTCTCTTTCCTCTAGAGTTAGATTCTTGAGGGCATCTTGAGTTTCTTCATTCTTTATTTCTTTCAATGATGATTCACCAACTTTACTTGAATTTAGGATACCTACATCATCATCAATAAAAAAATCCTTCCCATAAGGGGATTATCATAGAAAACAACATGTATAGACTCTTTACCACTAGAGTTCTTTTATTAAAGACTTGACAAGCTTTAGAGTTTGAAGAATAACCAAGAAAATTCCTTCATCACTTTTTGCATCACATTTGCCAAGATTATCTTTTCCATTATTTAAAACAAAAACACTTGCATCCAAAAGGATGAAAATAACTAATGTTAGGCTTTTTATTTTTGAAAAGTTCATATGGATTTTTCTTTAAATAGCCTAATCATTACTCTATTAATCACATAACAAGTGGTATTTGTGGCTTCCACCCAAATCTAATTTGGCAGATTGTTTTCACAAAGCTTGGTCATACCCATTTCCTCTAAAGTTCTATTTTTCCTCTCAACAACTCCATATTTTAGGGGTTCTAAAGGATGAAAATTATGACTGATTTTATTAGAAATTACAAAAATACTGAAACAATATTTTTAAATTCGGTTCCATGGTCACTCCTAACACTTGAAATTAAGTAACCTTTTTATTTTGGTTTATTTTAGAGAAAGTGATGAAATTCTCCAAAGCTTCATCTTAGTACTTAAGAAAAGAACCCATGTGTATTTAGAATAATAATCTACCAAGACAAATGCATATGTTTTCCACCCAATCTAGTAGTTCTAATAGGCTCAAAAAGATCTATATGGATCAATTGTAATACTCTAGATGATACATCATTAATAGGTTTAAAATAAGTTCTTTTGTGTTTTCCCTTAGCACATGCATCACAAGTTTTATCAAGATCTAATTTTATCTTAGGCAAACCTCTTACTAGATTACCTTGAACAAGTTTTGTAAAACACTCATACTAGCATGTAAAAGTTTCCTATGCCATAACCAACAATCATGCTCATCCTTAGCAACCAAACAAACATTTAAAATATCATTATTATCTAAATGCATCATGTAGATATTTCCTGTCCTATGACCAACAAGCATAATCTTATTATGCAATATCAATAATTTTGCAACCATTAGACTCAAATAAGACACTGTAACCCTTATCACATAATTGGCTAATACTAAATATTATGCTTTAACTCATTAGCATACAAAACAATTTAGTAAGTATGGAAGAGTTGTTACCAATAGCACCAGTTCTTTCAATGTGACCTTTTGAGTTGTCACCAAAGCTTACTATTCCTCCACTTTTAGCTTTAAGCTCTAATAACTGGCTCTTATCACCGGTTATGTGTCTTAAGCATCCACTATCAATGTACCATGAATTTGAACTTTTGATTTGTCCTTGTAGCAATGCTCCACCTACAAACATAGATCAAGTATTGATTTTTGGTACCCAAATTATTTTGGGTCCATTGACATTAGTTCCCAATTAATCTTGTCCCCTTTTGTATTCATTTTCAAGGATATTTTATCATTAGTAGTAATGAGACCTTTGGGGACCCATATGCTTCTAATAATTTTTCTATATAATGTTCTTCGGGGACTTATGTTTGTAATAATTAAAGTTATTTTTAACACAATTGGGCTTTGAATTTTCACTTTTTTCAAATCTTTTTGTCCCAATGTGGTTAAAGAAAGCTTTAAGATCATCAAGCTTCTTTTGATGATCATCATGAACTATTGAAAGTAAATTATATAAATCTTGATTTTTCTTTGCAAACTCTTCAAGTTTGACTTGTATCCTTGACTTGACTTTTAAGTTCAAGATTAGTCTTAGAAATGAGAACATTTTCATCTTTTAATTTTGAAATATTTTTATGATTTGAAATCATGTTCTCCAATTCTAAAACTAATTCATCATAAGCCTCTTGTAATTCATCAATGGAATAATCATTTGAAATAGATGAATTAGAGGTTACCTTAGAGTCATCTTATATGAACATGAGACATATGTTGGCTACTTTTTCCTCTTCATCATTGGAGGACTCATCATCACTCCATGTAGTTACATGTGCCTTGTATTTCTTCTTGGAGGATCCATTATTCTTCAATTGCTGGCATTCAAACTTGGCATGCCTGGACGTTTTGTACTCATAGCAAATAATAGGATCCTTTTCCTTGGATTCATTTTTGAAGCCCTTATTTCTTTGAAATCTCTTTCCTATCTAAGACCTCATGAATCTCATGAATCTTTTGGCAAACATTGTCATTTATCCATCTTCATCATCTTAATTTGAGTTACTCTCTTTTTTTTGTAGAGTTTAGCAACACCAATCTTTTTCTTCTATTCAACTTCCTTCTTTCTTCATCTTTCTTCTCTTTTTCTCTTATTCCTTCACTATCAGTTCATGAGTGAGCAAAGACCCAATGAGCTCATCTAGATTGAGTGTCTTTAAATTATTTGCTTCAAGAATAGCAGTCTTCTTGGATTGTCATGACTTGATAAGACTATAGATCATCTTCCTAACAAGCTTTTCATTAGAAATGACATCTCCAAAGCCTTTGAGACCATTTACAAACTGAAAATCGATCGGTCTCTTGCTTTTATCCTCATTTGGTCTCATCTTGAAGTTTTCATAATTATGATTGAGAAGACTAATCTTACTTTATCTTACCTCATTAGTTCCTTCATGAGTAACTTCAAGTTTCTCCTAAATATCCTTGGTATTGGAACAAGATAAAACTCTCTCATATTCATCGGGGCCAAGTGCACAAAATAGAATGCATTGCCTTTGCATTGAGTTGGAACAATCTCCTCTCTACTTCATTCATTTCATCATCGGTATTGTTGGAGTAGAATGTCCACTTAAAAGATACTCCAAGCTCCCAAATCACTAGCTTGGATAGAAAGCATCATCATATTCTTCCAATAGACATAGTTGGATCAATTGAAGAAAGAATGTTTGTTGATAGGTTGGGAATCATTGATATTGTCGAAGCTTGGTGTAAAGGCCATGTATGACTTGAACAATGATTTGACTTTTCTAGGATCTTCTTAAAAGGTGGTAAAACCTTTCAATGATTCTAGCTTTGATACCAATTTTTGAGTCAATCACATCAATTCAATGGCCAAAAGGGGGTGAATTGACAATTAGAAAAATGATGGGAGCTTTTTGCAAGAAAAGAAAATTTTGACACAAGCAATTTTAGAGTGGTTTAACTTCTTCAATGAAGTCTAGATCCACTACCTTAGCTTCCACACTAAGGATTTCAACAAATCCTCTAATTTGTTCTAACCTTCTAGGATAAGGTGTAACCTTACAACACACTTAAACTTATATCCCAAAGTCTCAAGTGTACAACCTTCCTAAGAAGAAATTACAAAGAAACAAACTTTTGAATATCGTCACAAGATAAGATGTTTGCAAATTGAAGCTCTCACACACACTTAAGAAACACTTAGAATGAAATATACAAAGAATGGAATAGTGTCCCATGTAAGAAAGACAAAATGGATTACAAATTTGGCTCTAAATGTTATTTGATTGTTGGAATAGATTTCTTGTCTTTTATTGGCTGTTTGAAGACCCCTATATGCCCTCATTGATTTCTAGTTATTTGGGGTTGTTAGAGGAGTCTAGAATCGTTTGGACAATAAATTCGTGCATTGAACGCAATCCTGCACAAAGGTTTAGAAATCATATAGGGGTTTTTGAAACCTGCCTTTGAAAAATCTGACCGTTGGGTAGGGGTTTCAAAACCAGACCCAAAAACTGCTTAAAATGGCTTTGTTTCATATTTAAAAATGTATTTTAAAACTTTATAGAATTCATAAACCTTTTAAATTTATTTTTGACATTTTGAACATCAAAATTTAATTTTACAAACTTGAAAATTCATGAATCAAATAAAAATATTAATTTTACAAAATTTTCAATTTAGTCATTTGTTGTATCAAATCATTTAATTACATTTATTAGAAATTAAATTTTAATTTTTTCCAGGGAAAAAGAGTGAAGCCCATGTATCGGTAAGGTTAAAAATATAAATTGTTTCTAAACTTAAAGTTTAAAATGAAAAAGCTAGAAATCCTAGTTTTTACGGTGGTTTGAAACCATCGTTTCTATCATATTTTTCTTTAAATTTTACATGTTGACATTGCTTTTGCGGTCAAAATGAACTTTTTAACTAAAAGTACTTTTAGACAGTATTATCAAACGGACCCTTAATCTAAAATATGATTTAACTTGAAATTTAGGGTTTGCTTAGATCTAAATTATTTTCAAAAAATTAATTTTAGTTTTTAAAAAAATTAGAAAACATGTTTGGTTAATATAAATGAATAATGTAATTCAAAAATAAATAATGAAAACATATTTGTTATCTAATTTTTAAAATAAAGATGGACAAATAGTTATTAATAATTAAAATATAATTATTAAAAAAATTCATTATATAACCAACAGGGGTTGGTTCAAGTGGTAAGTAACTTGATATCGCTTAAGAAAAGTCTCAAGTTCGAGTCCATGCACAAAATCCCCGATAGGAGACTCACCCACCAAAACCATGTGTGTGACCCGAGTCGGTCCAGATTAGTCAAGGCAAAGCCTTGAAACTAGAGGACAAAACATTGAAACCAGAGGGCAACCAAAAAAGAAATTCATTACATAAGTTTAATGTGTGAGTTATGAAAATATAAATGATTAAATAAAGAATTTCAAAATAAAAATTGTTTTAGTTTATACTAAAATATAATGTCAATGCAAATTAAACATCAAAATTAAAAAATACATAAATATGTATGCAAGTACAAATATATGTTTGATACAGACCTCAAAATTTGAAAAAAATAATGTAGTTTTTATTTTTTTTCACTCAATGTAATCTTTAAATTGAGAAAAATCAATCCAATGCTTTGATCAACGAAATCCAATGTTAACTGTTACAATGCTTACATGATAGTTCACAGAACTTACTTGACAATCTTATGTTGAAGTGATAGTTCACGATATTGTTGTAACAGTATACGATTGATGATGATGTAATGGACGAACTTAATTGATTTTTTAGTTATGTTCAAGGACCTAATTGATTTTTAGTTATGTTCAAGGACCTAATTGATTTTTAGAATATCGCAATCGTCTTCGGTTGGATCCCGGAATTGGGTTTCGACTTGAATTGATTGGGTTAGAGTCGCCACCGATCATTTTAAAGCGATATTATGTAGATCGGACACCATCTTACCTGATCTGTGTTGTACCAGAAACGTGTCGGGTTTGGGAGTCGGTTACGGTCAAGGATGGATTAGCACCCTTGAACCGCCCTTTCGGTACCAATTAATTTGTTGGTTGTCTTAATTGCAAAAATTAGAAATTTAAATTAAAATTTGAAATACCCGATTCGAATTACTTACCTTTGATTCGTTGAAAACTTCTAAAATAAGGGATCGAAAATGTTAGACAAAAAAATAATAATAAATGAATAAGAATAATAAAATAAAAAAATAATATAAATATAAAATAATTAAACAAAATATATGTAAAATAATTTAAAAATAAAAAAGAATAAGTCGAAAAAATGAAGAAAAAAATATTAAAGAAATCAAAAATAAAATAAAAAAATAAAGTTAATATATATATATATATGAACGAAAAAAATATAAAAATAAATAGTAATAAAAAATAAAAAATATATGTATGTGTTTATATATATGTATATATATAATAAAGTGGAATATTAAATAGTAATAAAGAAATAAAATAAGTAATAATAATAATATATACTAAAATAAAAAGAACATAAAATAACAAGCATAACTAAAATGTAAATTCTGAATATTAAGGCTCGAAATGAAATAAGGTGAAAGTCCATTGAGTGACTGAAACATAACTTTCGAAAGATACAGGCCAGAAATAGGACATTAAAACTTCATTTGGTGACTAAACGAAGACCTTACAGAGGAGGAAGGATCAAACCTAAGATTTTCCCAAGTATTTCTGGAAAACACGGGTAAGGGATAGCTAAAACGACGTAGTTTCGTTTGATGGATATAAAGCCCAACCATAGGCCAAGCTTCACCCTACTCTCTCATTTTCTCCCATTTCACTCACACAGACATCTTCTCCCCTCTCCCAACTCTCTCAACATCACTCTCGGGCAAACCCCGGCCACCTCGCCGCCGAGCGCGGCCGGAAAAATTGAAACTCACCTACCCGACTCTTCTCAACCCCGTAAACATCGTTCCATAGTCCGTTTTCTCAAAAAACAACCGAATCAGCGTAGATCTACAGAAATGTCCTCGGGTTTTTTACCTTCGCCGATGGTGACTCCTCGGTTCTCCGGCGTTCTCGTTTTCGTGTTTGCTTCTTGGTGGACGTTTGTGTTGTGGTTTTGTTCTATTGATTTTTGTTTCGTGGGTATTTTTCGGTCTAGTCGTGGTTAATGGCAGCTTGTTCACTGTTGGTTTCTCTCGTTGTCGATCTTGGTTTCTGTTGTGTAATGTGATGGTTGTGGTTCTTTTGTGTACTCGATTGTGGTCTGTTTTTTCTTGATGTACTGTGGTTTTGTGATGATGGTTGATGTTCCGTCCGTTGTTCCTTTTTCCTCCCTTTCTGTATGGCCTCACCGAGGCTTTTATAGTTCGGTTATGGCTGTTTCTTAGCCCGAAATGATTGGGGTTATAGCCGTTGTGGGTTAACCGAGAACCCCGAGATGGTTCAGTCCGGAAATTTCGGCCGGAGGTTCTGGTCGTTTGGCACGTAACCTTCACGTGCACAATTTGTTCCTTTTACTGTGCGGCGCTGTTTGAATGATATCATTTTAGGATTTTTAAACCCTGAACCTTACTGGGCTAGATCAGCCCCAAACCGCTGGACTACTATCGGACCCTCTGGACCTGAAATAAATGAAAAAAATGATAAATTAAAACGTAAAATAAAAATAAACGGAAAAATAATGAATTTATTAATTTTTTTAAAAACTATACAATATATTTTCCAAAAAAAATTTTTTAAAAATTATATAATTTCAAAAGCATTTCAAACTATATATATATGTTTAAAAATGTTTTCAAAATATATATATTTTCAAAAAAATAATTTTTTTAAAAAAAACTATATAGTATATATATGTTTTCAAAAAAAGGTTTTTTCAAAACTATATATATATTTTCAAAATATTTCAAAACTATATATATATGTTTTCAAAAATATTTTTAAAAAACTATATATTATATTTTCAAAATGATTTCAAAAATTATATATATTATATTTTCTAAAATGTTTTAAAATATATTATATAATTTTCAAAAATCATTTGCAAACTATATATATATATATATATGTAAAAAAATGTGGACGAAAATTAGTGTCTACAAGAAAGTTTGAGGACTTATTTATATTATAAAAAATATTAAATTTAAAATATGAATATAAATAATTAGTAAGTTGCTCGATATATAAATATAAAAAGTACTAAAAATAAATTATTAAAAATTTGTTTTAAGGATCATATTAAATGTCAAAAATTGTTATAGGGACTATACTAATTTTTTTAGAAATTAGAGGGTTTCATATACCATTAAATCAAAGATTTGTTGTAGAATGACTTGAATTTTTATAAATTAAGTTAAAAATCTAGATATTATGTTTTTTCATTTAAATTTTTAAAATAATATTAATGAAAAATATTAAAGATATTTTTTTGGTACAATAAAGTCTAGGTCAAGGTGGCTATCCCAATCCGTCGAGGGTATACCCAGACCTAATTGAAATTTACATAGAAATTTATAGATTATCTACCAAGTATCGATGATAAGATTAAAGATATATTTTTTATGTTTTATATTTTTAATTATTTTTATTTTTTCCGATGAATCACTTATTTTTATTTTCATTCTCTAAAGATCATTTTTAATTTTAAAATTAACATTTATAATATTTTTTATTTTTCAAAAAATAAAATGCTTATGTTTTTTATAAGATTTTGACTTGTAAACTTACCCAAGTCTCAGCGTGCCATGCGTGTCAACTTTGGATCCTTGGCGGTTGATACAATCAATACCCCAACTCACCGCTATAAGTAAGCAAGTGAACCTTCCCCATTTCCCTACACAATTCCAGTCCCTTTGTTTCACAACTCAAGGTACATTCCTTTCCTTATCTTGGTTTTAGGTTTTTCCAGGTCTTTTCCTTTCTCTGACAGCTTTTTCAATATAAAAAAAGGTTCCCTTTTATTGATTTGCTGTTTCTGATCATTTTTTTAATGTTCTCTTAGAGCAAATGGGAGCTTAGATTTCAGGGATCATTTGTCTCATTCCTTGTAAATCATCATCATAATTGGCCAGCAGGAAGTTCTTTGTTTTTACTTACAATTTTCAAATTATATCACCGAGAAATAAGGAAAGTAGGGAGTTTCTGGGAGGAAAAAGTGTCTAGAATGGAACTCTTGTCTTTCAAAGGTAATTTACTGGTGGGGTTTGCATTAGTTAAGCTTGTTATAGGAAGAATTCTTTGGCCTACCGTCTACCATGTTAATCTTGTTTTCGATCGTTTCGATCTTCTTACAGGTTGAATAGATAATAAACAGAGACTTTGAAACATGTGTGTCTGTGTCTGGTGTGTTTTCATTACCTTTTTTGTGATGTATATAGATTGAATAGATCTGGACCGATTAGTATCATGCGGGTGAATGTCTATGTCTGCTGGTTTAATTCTTGTTGATGTATACAGATTGAATAAGATCTGGACCGATTAGTATCATGCGGGTGAATATCTATATCTTCTGGTTTGATTCTTCTTGATGTATACAGATTGATAAGATCTGGACCGATTAGTATCATGCGGGTGAATATCTATGTTGCTGTTTTGATTCTTGGTGGTGTATTTTGGGGTGGGGGTGTTCATTGTAGAGTTGTCTCCATATTTTTTGTGTTCGGATATGGCATCATTCATGCGGGTAATTATCTATGTCTGCCGTCTTGATTCTTGTGGTGGTGTTTTTTTTTTTGTGTGGGGGGGTGTTCATTGAAGAGTCGTATCTCCATATTTTGTGTTCAGATGTGCATCATTCATAAGCGCCGAGCATGGGTGCTTTAGGAAAACTGAAAAGTTAAAGAATAAACTTAGATGGCAACATGCTTAGTTAAGGTTTTCAATTGCGGTTAGTGGTGAGGTAGTAGTTAACCTCAATGATGGAAATAGGGAGGTTGAGTGTATTGTGACATTGTTGATATTGAGGGTAGTGGCATAGGGTTTGTAATGACTTGTCCTCTCATTCGGGTGTTCGTGATGATTAGTGTGGCTGGGGATGGCTGCATCTGATAGAATAAGTGTAATGGAAGCAATGGAGAGTGGAGGTTGAGTGTATTGTTACATTGTTGATCTTGAGGGTAGTGCCATAAGGTTTGTAATGGCTTTCCCTCTTCGTTTTGGGAGTTATCGTGATGATAAGTGAGTGGGCCGGATGGCTGCATTGATAGCAGAAGTGTCTCCGCTCTCTGTACTAGTATAGTTGCTATTAGTTGTGCCAGTTCACATTGTGGACGGATTCGACAGATGTTTATGACATGTAAAAGCCATTTCTATACATATCGTATGTCAACGTCTATAATAACCTTATTCTTGGAAGTGAAATAGGGATATTGAATAGAAATGCTAATGGTATTGAAAAAAGCTCTGTTGGTTTATCATGAACCATTATATAATACGGATACGCTTTGTTTTTGAGTAATTGTAGCTTGAAATGCAAGTCTTTCATTCGGTTGAACTAATTTAGTACGGCTTTCTAGGCTTTTGTTCTGGTGAGAAATATGAAACATCATGCCTTTACTATCTCAAGATCTGTGTTAGAATTTCTATCATGCGTAATGCCAGCAGTTGTTTATACCCCAACAAATGTTCTGTGTTTTTTAATGAATTCTATATAGTCCAAAATTCGATTGTATTTCTCCTTGCTATTTATATGCAATTTCTTTCAGGGAATTTGCAAAAAACTCGGGAAGGTTTTACGTTCGTATAGTCCAAAATTCGATTGTATTTCGTCCTTGCTTATTTATATGCAATATTTCTTTCAGGGAATTTGCAAAAAACTCGGGAAGGTTTTACGTTCGAGTTCGTGGCAAAGGGTTCACAGTCGCAGATACATCTAAATCGATTGTCAGTGGAGAAGAAAGGCGAAGAAGGACGGACTGCATTTCAAAGTCAAGGCGAAGGATATGGAGGCAAAACGTGAGCAGGAAGGCAAGATTGAGGTCGAACTTGAACTGAAGATCAAATCGGCAGAGAAGGAGAAGTCCAAGCATAAGGAGGAACATAAAGAAAAAGATAAGGATAAATCAAAGGAGAAGGAAAAGAAGACAGAAGATGATCTAGGGGGAAAACTCAAGGATAGTGAAGTTGGGGAGACGAAGAAAATGGAGAAGGAGAAGATGCACAATTATGAAGAACATGATGAAATGAAAGATAAAAAGAGAAAACAGATAAGGAAACGGACGGTAGAACAAGATGAAGAGAAAGAAAGAGAGAAAAAAGACAAGGATGAGAAGGAGAAGAAAAAGAAAAGAAGCACAAGAAAAAGGAGGTCGAGGGAGAAGGAGATGAAGTGAAAGATGAGAAGAAAAAAGAAAAAGAACATGGGAAGGATAAGAAAAAGGAAAATACGCACAAGGAAAAAGAGGTCGAGGTAGAAGAAGATGAAGATGAAGAAGAGAAGAAGAAAAACAAGGATGAGAAGGAGAAGAAAAAGGATGAGAAGCATAAGGAAAAGAGGTCGAGGTAAAAGAAGAAGAAATGAGAAGAAAAAAGAAGATAGACAAGGATGATAAGGAGAAAAGAAAGGAAAGAAGTTTGAAAGATGAAGAGGAAGAGGAGAAGAGAAAGTGAAAAAGACGAAAAAAAGAGATAGACAAGGATGAAAGGAGGAGAGAAGAAAGAAAAGAAAAAGAGGATGAGGTGAAAGAAGATGAAGAAATAGAAGAGAAAAAAGAGGAGACGAAGAAAGATGAGAAGAAAGAAAAACATGAGAAGGAGAAGAAGAAAGATAAGAAGGATAAAGAGGTAGAAGAAGATGACGATGATGAAATAAAAGAGAGGAAGAAAGATAAGAAGAAAGACAAAGAGGAGAAGGAGAAGGAGAAGAAGAAAGAAAATATGAAGGATAAAGAGGAAGAGGTAGAAAAAGATGACGGTGAAATGAAAGAGAAAAAGAAAGATAAGAAGAAAGATAAACAAGAGAAGGAGAAGAAGAAAGAAAAGGAGGATAATGAGGAAGAGGTAGATGAAGATGAGGCTGACGAAATTGAAGATGGAAAGAAAGAGAAGAAGAAGAAGAAAGACAAAGAGGTGAAGGAAAGAAGAAAGAAAAGAAGATCAAAGATGGAGAAGGTGAAGAGAAAGAAGAGACAAAGAAGAAGAGACAAAGAAGATAGAGATAAGAAGGAGAAGAAGCACAAGGATAAAGTGGAAGAGGAAGTAGATGAAGAGCTAGAAGATAAAAAGAAAGAGAAAGCAGAGAAGAAGGATAAGAAGAAAGGCAAAGAAGATAAAGATAAGAAGCACAAGAACGAAAAAAGAAGAAGAACAAGAAGAAAGATGAAGCTGGAGAAAATGTTGTGAAGGATGAGACTGGCATAGCCTCCAGGAAATATATAGAAGATACTGGGAAAGAATCAGTAGGCGAAGAAGAGAAAACAAAAGGGTAAAGCAAAGAGACAACGAGAAAAAAAGAAAGTTTGAGAGGAAGGAAAAAGCAAGATCTTAGTAAGCTGAAAAAAAGTTGGAGAAAATTAATAGCAAAATATGCCCTAGTGAGAAGAAGGCAGACATCCTGAGGCAGATTAAAGAAGCTGAGACAGACCAGTGAAGTTGCCATGTATTACAGACTATGGACTGACCTTGGTTTACACTATATTGTGTGTTACATTTTCAGTTTTTCTTTGTATGCATAAAATGTTCTCATAGATCATGGTTGCCCCCAAAGTTCATATATCCATCATGATGTGAGAATGACAGAAATTACTGTATACTTTGTGTAACTTTAGAATTACGAGAATGCGAAAATAAAGAATAGTTCCGTTAAATTAAAGGAACTGTAGATGTGAAGACAATCGTTTTGATGTATCCTTCTGTAGATGTGAAGACAATCGTTTTGATGTATCCTTGGAAGAAAACTTCATGAGATCAATATTGGAAAGTTTTGTACTTTTATTACAATATTGAAGCATGTCTTTCAAAACTGAACTGGAAAGTATCATCGTGGCCACTTGGCAAATTTCCAAACAAAACGAGATTCAGATAACCACGCACTTATATACGAGGGTTATTGCAGTTGCAAAACAGCATTGGTGGACTCCTAAATATTGTTACCATCTAATACTAGTTAACATCCTAGATTTCCATGATATGTCCTGTAGAATCAAAGTATATTTGTTTGGTCTAGTGGTCAGGGCAACCCTAGTCGGGGAGGGGATCATAATGTGATCTCCAACATGCATTGGCACTGATTAACAGTCTTGACCAGGTGAATGAAAGCTTGCGGTAAATTCATAATCACCAAACAATGCATCACGAATGCCTTGACACTCACTTCCCGGCAGCCATGCGGCAACATGAGGGTCTACGGACAGGATGACAGGATACAGCGACGACAGTTCATTTCACGTTCCACAAACATTGTGATTGTTCTTGGCCCTGGTACATGAATGGCCAGATGGGAATTGTGTCAAATAGACCCACCACAAACTTAATTAGCAAAATTCTATTCACTGCGTAGTCAATACGGCTATTGGAAAATAAATTCTTCACCGGCAGGTTAGTCTATCAATGAACTCTGTGTAGTTGTATGGACCATTACCATGTCAAGGTCAATCCGAGATGGTAAAGCCCTGAAACAATGTCAAACATTAAACAACCGTAAAAGAATGCTTCGAGTTCTTCAGTGTGGTAAACCAGAGGCGAAGATCACGAGATCGGTACCCTGGAACGAAGTGGTTTCTTAAGAAAAGCTCGAATAGGAGACCATGATTGTTGAAACACCTTTGGTACTTGAACTGTAATAGCCTGGCATATGAATCCAAGAAAACCATGCCTGTCGATCACTGTGTTGTTCTTATTGATACCGTTGGTTGTTCTAGCATGTTGGTTTAAAAGAAATATTCCTCTCACATGCCTATCTTCACCGAACTCATTATATTGTGGATTTTTTCGAGTCGAGTTTTGTTTACCTTTAAATGTAATAGGATATATTTTTTTAAAATTTTTTATGTGAGAATGTTGTGTAATAGTAGATCCTTGTATTTTCAAGTCAGTGTACGATAAGAAAGCTGGATAATCTTAGTTTCCTCATGTTGTGCACCTAGACAAGCATAATCTGGAAAGCATTAATATTCTTGTTTTTCAACTATATATACATATATTCTGAAATGCACGAGCAAAGTGTGAATTTCATACAATGCTAATTTATTAGTTAATCCATAACACCATATGTATAACTTGCAGCTGTAACTAACAAAAAGATCCAAGGGAAAAGAACTCCAATACCATCAAACCTACATGATCCTGTCCGACAAAGATGGAAGCCTTCGGAAGAAGTTAAGCAACGGAGACGGCATTTGGTCACGGAACAGGGGATGCCGGAAATAGTAGAACCCTAATGCCATTGCTACCATCTTTGGTGGCACCAGGTACAGCACGAATGCCACCATTAAACATAATCCCAAAAAGATGGCAGTAGCACGCGGATCTCGCCATGTCACTAATGCTTGTACGCGTTCACCTTGCGTGGCGAAAGTGCCTAATGTGCTTTGCACTTGAGCTCCGATTGCACGTAGCTTATCGTACCTTGTGCGTATAACGTCCGGTGATCGGGTGCTCGGCATTGTATCGAACTCTTCATCAAGTTCATCACGGTCGACATTGTCTGCCAATGAGATCTTAGGACAAAAGTGGGGTAATGTGTCTTTTGATCTGAACCTATAGTTCCAAATCCCAATCACGAACACATAAAATGCTAACGTTGGAATGATCAAATCAGGGAACCACACCAACATCACTATCAATGCATGCACAAGTATTGTAGCCGTCGGATTCTTCCATCCACGTGTATTCTCTATCCATCGTACGATGTCGATCAGACAAGATAACACATTGACTATCCTTGACCAATTCGCACGTACCTTTCGCATGCTGAACGTGTGTGAGTCCGCGTCGAGCATGTAACGTACCACTTCACTCCTCAGTGGCGGTTCGGATCGTGACAAGTGTGCGGCCAAGATCTTCACGGCCGTGCTCCTCAGCATCTCTTGTTGGGCCATTCCTAAAGGCTTGATGTGGTGCATCAACGGCAGCAAAGGTTGGGAGTACACGTGTAAGAAATCAAGTGTCGGAGCTGCACGAACAAACCTTACGGCTACCTCCAGCTCACCCATTTTTTGTACCCCGCTATTACCCAACATCACCAACGGATACGTATTTTTGTACACTTTACCCGTTTCTAATGTAGATACACGTACACGTACTTTCCCCATACGAAAATCAGGACGCGTGGCTTCTTTTCCGCCGTCGATGTCTAACGTTCCCCAGCCATCGAACACTCCAATTGTCAACACCGTACATGGATCGTACACCTTCCACGTGTACTGCTCATTCCATTTTGGATCCAAAGTATCCGACACCGTACGGGTTCGGATCCACTTCGACCCGTATTTTGCCACGCTGTATGCATCCGTGGACCCTTTGCCATTTATAGTTTTCATCGGCAACAAATTTTTACAACCAATAATCCCAAGCTCAAGTGTCCCGACCGGCGGCTTCCAAAGTTGTCTTGCCGTCGGCCGGTAGTCGCTACACATGTGCGCCGCCTCATCCATCACGTGATATCCGCCGTCGAAACATAGGCTCAGATGCACTCTGCCTTTGTAGCCTTTCTTATCACTTTTTGGGTCCTCGAGATTGAACCATCGAGATATCACTTTCCGATCGTCGACACGGCGTTCGATGGAGGTTAACGGGACTCCGACGACTCCCAACGTCACCGATCCTTTTTGTTGACGGTACTCGAGATAGAATAGTAAGTGTTCGCTAAATGGCTCGGCGGCTACAAACATGAGATCTTCATTCCATGACGGATTGCCGTTACGGGAAAGTGAAACTTTGGTTTTCTGAACTTGGAATCCCAACTGCGCTTTCATCTGAAACGAGCCTTCTTTTAACGCCGTTAATGGCAAAATGTCTTGCGCTTCGAGGATGGAAGCTCGAAGGTACCAAAGCTTAGGAGACAGATAAATTTTGGCGCGAGAATTGATAAGGTTACCGGCGGTGTCCGATTTCCACGAATCGGGAAATGCCTCGTCAGCTTGGGTCCCGATCCACGTGGCAAGCATTAGATCACCTCTATGAGCTCCACCTCCTTCCAGCCGATACCATTGCGGCGCCAATGGACTGTCTGGTGGGTCTCGTAAAGGAATCTCCGTTGCGTCGAAGCAAACTCCGCCTAAGAAATTGGCGCCACCCCCATCGCTCCAAACGGAAACTTCAAGAAACGAGGAAGTTTCCGGCGTGTCGCGGGCGAAGGCAAATGTCTGGTCCCACTCGAAATACTTGGCTTTTCGAGCTGGTTTTGATGTGACGTGACTACCGGCGACGGCGATTTTAACGACGGGGTTTCCATTGGTGGGTAAGCTTCCTGCTTTCACTACTTTGACGAAAACGTAATGCATTTTGTCGACGAGATCAAACGAAGACCGTTCAACTCGGGAGTGGTCCGGTGAGTCCACGGAGGAAGAAGCATAACTGGCCGGGGTTGCTGGCCTTTTGAGTGGGGGCGGAGCAGAGATGGTTCGGGCAACTTTTATTTCCGGAATGGAACCCGATGTAGTTGATGCCAAGACATCCGTTTGCATCGGTGGAGCCCAATTTTCCGATGTAGGGTCGAGCACAAAGTCATCATCATGATCATCTGCTTCTGGCTCCACTTGGTCAGCCCCTTCTGCTGGCTTTTCACCTTCAGCTTCATCAGCCTTCTCGCCCTCACCATCCGCCGGCGGATCCGCCGTCGCTTCCACTGGACTTGCAGCATTGTTGTCATCAGGCTTCTCCTCAGCTAGCGTATGTTGTTGGTCAGACGACGCAGGGGCGGCTGCTTCATTATTTGCGGGAGTCTCCTCCGCTTTCTTCTCCTCCACATGCGTCGGAGGTGGCAAGACTTCATCAACATAATAAATCTTCAAACCGATCTCACCTCGAATCCAACTAAGCAAATATTTCCTCTCCAAAGGATAATAAATCAAAGCTTCTTCACCCTTCTTAACAAACTGTCCCGAACTCAACCTCAATCTCCCCAGAGAATTGTTCCGACTGGTCGGCCCAAGATTCTTATCATGGTAAACATCAAGCTCAAGCATGTCACTGAAAACATCCGAGGGTTTTTCGATGTTGAACTGAAGAGCCTCGTTCCACGTAGGGTTTATATCCCTCGTAACCGTCTTCGTCCGCTTCCTCTGCCCATATAATCTACCACAACGTAAGGACTCGACGTCCCGTGACCATCTTTGGGCACGAGATTACGTGCATCAACCACTTCTACGACCAGTTTCTGAGTTGTTGCCGCCATGACTGAA